AATCGTGGAATTTTTGCGAACCCCCCCTCCCCCCTTTTTGTCCACGTGGTATATGTACGGTCCCAAAGTGACTGGAAGTGACTGGAAGTGACTGTAGTGACTGGAAGTGACTGGAGTGACTGGAAGTGACTGGGCGTGACTGGAAGTGACTGGAAGTGACTGGAAGTGATTGGAGGTGATTGGAGGTGATTGGAGGTGTGACTGGAGATGATTGGAGGTGATTGGAGGTAATTGGAGGTGATTGGAGGTGTGACTGGAAGAGACTATGGAGGTGACTGGAGAAGCTGCAACATGAGTAAAGTAGACGTCGGTAACACCGCGTTAAGTAGGCAACCTATAATACAACAGGCAGAGGTTGGCAGTTGACTGGAGTTGACAGGGTGACTGGAGGTGATTGGAGGAGACTGGAGGTGACTGGAGGTGATTGGAGGTGATTGGAGGTGACTGGAGGTGATTGGAGCTGACTGGAGCTGACTGGAGGTGATTGTAAAGATTGGAGAGACTGTAGACAGACTGGAAAAGACTGGGAAGATTGGAGTTGATTGTAAATGATTATAATATGATTATTTTGCGAAGTGTACGAAGACTGGACCAAGTTAGGTACCCCTCGGGTGGGAAAGCAGTACATAGATAGAATGTCAGTTGAACTTTTTACTGATTGTCATCATTGTTATAGAACAAGTCAAAGCTATAATCTATCGGCTCTTCCCAATATTGCTCGACCTCCTCCTCCTTCTTCTCTTCGCTACCTCTCTTGATTGCCTCCCACCACTCGCAGGCCCCCTCATACTGCTGTTCTTCGAGGTCAAACAATTCTGGATCTGTGAGAAAGAAAAGTTCAAGGATTACAACAGTGCAACTGTAAGTTAGCAAGATTTGTTTGGTTTTTCATGAGCTGAGAGTTCGAAGTAACAAGGTGAAGCATATAACCTTTCTTGAAAAAGAATCATGTATCTTAACTTTTTGCCCTGGAGACTTCTCCATGTGGACAGTTGCAAAAGTAAGATTCTTTTTCTGGGAAAATGTTACATTGTCCACGACTTAACTGAAACAAGTGTCTCTCTATTAGCCTAGTCATGATGTTCGAAGCAGAAGTTACGTATCATTCGCTTTGAACAGTAATGAACAGTGAAGAATCTAGTGCAACTAGCGATATGTACGCCAGACCACGTCTCGCGTAACAGGCTTCGCGATATCTCACGAAACACTGTTACGCTGCGACGCACCTGGCGCACATATAGCTAGGCCTGCGGCGCTGACACCCGAGACGAGTTAAGGAGAGGGTATAGGGGCACAGGGTCTTCCGGGCCCAAAATTTGACATACTCGAACCATTTGTCGGGGTCATATTACTCTAAAATTAGGGACATGAAACTTGTGCTGTTCGATAACGGTTTACATTAAAAGTACGAACTTTGACAGATTATGTAAAAATTAACGTTAAAGTGATACTAGATAATCTGGAGACCCTTAAGCCCAAAAGAGGGTGTGGTTCGACCCTTAATGTGTGGTTTAGGTATTACTCCGTTTACAATTCTGTGACATGAAGCCTTCCTAACGATTTAATACACCATTTTGTCTTTTCTACGTTGTTTCCGCCAAGAAATGACCTATAGCGCCAAAACGGTACAAGACAGAGCAAAACGGACGAAATTTTTGCCCAAAGGACTCTACTTTCACGAGTTACCTCTAAGGAACTCAAAAAATAAAAAAAAATAAAAAGTCAACTTTTGAGCTAAAATGCTCATCTTCGAACTCGATCTGTCTTTTTATGATAAAAAACGACCCTGAAATTCCAAGATCGCTCTCTCAATACATTCTCGAGTTATCATGCGGACAGACAAACAAACAAACAAACAAACAGACAAACAGAATGAAACTTTTCCGGTCAGTGGAGTAATGGGCTTCGCTAATCGCTCAGCCAATTATTGCAGCATCTTTAATATCACATGTTTTTCAAGATTAACAACTTGAATAACTGAAGTATTTGATTCATAGCAAAGCGGAACAGCATTGCAAGCTTCAGACTTTCATTAATATTGACTTGAGCAAGTACCCGCATGGAAAATTATGGCATCAGATTGTCATCAGTATGTCATCTCGCCGATTACAAACGGATGACAATCTGATGACAGTCTGATGATAAAACTGATGACATACTGATGACAAACGGATGACAAAACGCGAATAGGCGTTTGTCATCAGTATGTCATCATTTTGTCATCAGTTTATCATCCGTTTATCGTCAGATTATCATCCGATGACAAACGGATGGCAAACGGATGACACACGGATGGCAAA